TGTCTAGCTGTTTGAGTAAAAAATCGAATGTATTTAAGTACGATATGCATCGATATATATCGATTTCCTTTTATAAATAAAAGCGACTGTTAATTGAGTTTATATTGACATACGAGTAGTATTTAACCACTTTGGGGCTATGAGTAGAGCAGTGTGAGCTGCTCTATAGTTTATTTTGATCAAAGCTATCGATAGTTACATGAATTCTTATCACTCGATAGGGCAATTATAGATAAGATACTCTCAATTCCAGCGAATTTTGTAAATACTCGATTATATTATATTATCAAAAATTGCTAAGTCAAGTGCTCATTGCAAGATTATCAATTCTCTCAACTTATCACTACATATCTATCGATTATTCGCTTCATATTATCGATAATTATGTTTATGATAAGCTGTTCGATTCCTTTAACTATAAATTTTATGCCTTCTCTATTTTCTGCACATTATCTAGCAATGATAAAATAATCGATTCCCTTAACTTCAGCTCTATCGATAACTCCACAATGTGTTATCGTTCTAAATCACGTCTATGCGATACACTCAGCTCTAGCCCCGAAAACTTGAGAATCTGCGCAATTTGTCGCGCGCTCAGCTGATGCGATTGATGAACTTAAAATCCTCGAAAACATCTTTGGATATTTACATAATTGATTTCTTCTGCTTCTTCTTCTTCATTTCTTCGCGAACTTAATGCGTTGAAAACAAAGCTATAAATTGTCGCTCGCTTAATTCTCTGTCAGTTGAGAACTGTAATAAATTAATATATAAATTTCTTGTCATCCAAATGACTTGCGCGAAGCGTTACAGCTGCTCCAGACTTTTGCATATAAAATAAAAGAACAACTGAGCGGGTCGCCTTTATTATGACAGAGCCCATTGTACCCGAGATTGTCATGAATTCAGATTCAAGCTTAATTCATATGCAGCAGGCAACTCAGAGATGTTTCTAACTCTGAGCTCAGCAGCATTCCTTCATTAATTATGTATTTATAATTAATAATTTAATTTTTAATTTACTTTTAAAAAACATTTAGCTCTTCACAAGCTTCTTCCTGAATCTTAAGTTAAATTCGTGTAGATCCAAAACAAATTGTCTTCAGAACTTCAAACTGAGTGCGCCCTGTGCCATGGCTCGAGGCAATCGTTCGGTTTTTCTTAGCGAATATAACTAATCTTAATATGAAATCAAATGTCACGAAATGGATATTTGCCACATGTTGTTGTTGTTGTTGTTGCTGTTGTCGCATGCTAAATTGAATTAGACACTCGAAAGAGACAGACTCGGCTCAGGTGATCTTTAAGCAAAACGCGATCAGTTTGGCTGTGGGAGACTGAGATCAAGCGTTCGATGCATAGAGCAGAGCCCAGCGAGATGCAAGCACGCGCGTGAAGAGTCAACAACAAATGCAATGGGGCAGGCACAGTCGCAGCCACAGACGACAACGACAACAATCGAAATAAACGAAAACAAAACAAAAAAAAGAACGATCAGCGAAGGTGAATAAATCAAACTGATTTATTGGAGTCGACGACAATGACGACGACGACGCGCAACACTGAGAAGCCTCCAGCCATAAGCCATAAGAGTTGCCCAAGACAATGACCAGGTGGGCGGGGGTTGGGGGCCACGTGGGGCCTGAGCGGAGTCTTCAGTGTGAAGCACTGGTGCAGCGCTAACGCGTGACACATGCAGCAGGCTGCAGCTGCAGCTGGCAGCCAGGCCCACTTGCTGCGTCCCCAGCTGGCCAATTGGTAAGCCGATTGGTTAATGGCAATGCCAGTTGCCATCGCAGCTGATGAAAACCCAAAACACAATTCACATCAGCAATTGCAGTGCCGCGATCATGGAGTAGAGTCATGGAGTAGAGTATAAGAAGGAAGGCCACTTGCTTATATTTAATAGGGTCTGTCTTGGGGTTAGTCTTAGAGCTTGTCTTTGGGTCTATTTTAGGGTCTGTCGCAAAGCCTTTCTAAGGGTCTGTCTTAGGGTCTGTCTTTGGGATGGTCTTTGGGTCTGTCTTGGGGTCTGTCTTAGAATCTGTCTAAGAGCCTGTCTTAGAGTACGTCTCAGAGTCTGCCTTTGGGTCTGTCTGAGGATCTGTCTTAGAGTCTGTCGCAAAGCCATTCTTAGGATCTGTCTTAGAGCCTTTCTTAGGATCTGTCTTAGGGTCTGTCTGAGGGTCTGTCTGAGGGCCTGTCTTAGGGTCTGTCTTGGGGTCTGTCTTAGAGTTTATCCGAGGATCTGTCTTAAAGTTTGTCGCAAAGCCTTTCTTAGGGTCTGTCTTAGAGCCTGTCTTAGGGTCTGTCTGAGGGTCTGTCTAAGGGTCTGTCCGAGAGTCGGTCTTAGGGTCTGTCTTTGGGATGGTCTTTGGGTCTGTCTTGGGGTCTGTCTTAGAGTCTGTCTCAGAGTCTGCCTTTGGGTCTGTCTGAGGGTCTGTCTGAGGGCCTGTCTTAGGGTCTGTCTTGGGGTCTGGCTGACAGTCTGTCTTAGGGTCTGTCTAAAGGTCTGTCCGAGGGCCTATCTTAGGATCTGTCTTAGGATCTGTCTAAGGGTCTGTCCTGGTGTTTGCTTTGAAGATTCTGTCTTAGGTTCTGTACATAGGCTACACTCCAACTGAAATATAGGCAATGTCAAACTGCATATTTGCCTGGCAGTTGAAGGCCTTACGTCAGGAGATATATAATGCTCGTCTCACAAATAGTTCATTTTCAAGCTGTCATATATTATATATATTAAGTACAGTCACATTCATCCATATTCTCATCCATCTGCACAGTTGCCGTAGCTACTAAAGTCCTTGCCTCGTTTCAGTGTACCACAATTATAGCCTCTCATTTGCAGCTTTATTCAAATTTTCGTTTTGCTTGTCTGGTGCACAAACATGTCATGGTCACAGTGCGCCCTAGCCCCACTTCTCTTGCTGTTGCATTTATGTGCAAATCATGAGGTGCCCCGCTGCACTGCCCTGCATGGCATCGCATGGCATGGCATGGTATGGCCTGGCACTCGGCACTGACCAGTCCCAATCGCTCTCAGCTCAGCTGCCATCGGGCCGTTCCCCCCTAAATTAGCCCCATCTGTCTGCACGGCTGTGCCAAAAATCTGCAAGCGTTCGCAATCGAGGTGGGCGTGTCAGTCGGGCCGTGATTTGCTGTTGGAGCATTTCGGTTTTGGCATTTATGTGTGCCACTAAATCTTGCTCACTCACTCAAATGCTGCTCGTCCGACCAGCCAGCCAGCCAGCCAGCCAGCCAGCCAGGATGCTCGCCAAATTAGCTTAAAAACCGACAAACTTTGTGCCCAATGGCACACGCATAAATTCCAGCTGTGGGCAGGGTGCGGGCGGCAACACCAAAAGCTCCAAATGCCCATTCCAAAAAAAATCAAATCGAGTGCAACGCTTTGCCAACTCAATCACCGGGCCGAGCAAGCGAGGCCCAGCTCTGGTAATTATTTTGTGACGCCAGCAGCCAGCCCTCAACCACCCAACCACCCACACACACACATACAGTTACTCCGGACAACCACAGTGTTGTGGACCAGCGCACAGCAGAGGAGGCTGGCGGAGTCACAGGACGAGGCAATCGAGTTTTTGGTGCAGCTGATGCCACCACAGCCGACTCGTAAATATGCACGCATGTCCTGGCCATAGTTGGGACAATTGCTGATGCCACCAGTCGACAGGATGAGGTCGAGTTGTTCAGCCTGTGCAGCTATTTATGCGCTTTATGCCTCGTGCGTGCCTATTTGGGGTAGGCCTGTGCCTGCGCCTGTGCCTGCGCCTCTGCCGGGCTGGGAAAATCTGTGCGCCAGATAAATTCCTGGCCAAAGGTTCATGAAAATGCAATTTTATTTTCTAAAAACAGCAGACGCACAGATTCCAGCGCACAGCTGAACAAATCCAATCCGGCTGGACCCATTGTCCAATCGGCTATGAAATGACGCCTGCCCAGCCAGGACGACTAATCAGAGTAGTTGATGGCCCATTGGCAACACGATGCTCAAGCGAAACGCAGTTGCAATTGAAATGGCAAATATCTCCAACTGGAGCCATCTAAATCGATGCCCGCCGGCCTCAGTGAGGTAAATCTGGCCAAAGTAACTGCTGCAGCTCTGGCTGGGTCTTGGGTTTGGGGTACTCGTAATTATGAACTGCGGGATTCCCTTTGGTTTTAATTAACTCGAAGCGAGTTTTGTGCATTTCAATTGCTGAACGAGAGAGCTGCGAAGTTAAGCTGAGCATATTTAATATCAGCTCAAAGTGTTTCAAGTTAACTTTATAGAAAGAACGTTATATTTTGAGGTGATTCGTGACTGATAAGCGCCATAGTTTAAACTCCCTTGAAACCTACTTTGTTGTTACTTAGATATTTGGGAACTCTTTTAAGTTCTGTGCTTTTAGATGAAGCATAAGGAATAACCATGGGTTTATAGGAGTCAAAAGCCAAGTAAACATAGACCTGAATCCTCTTGTTAGAGTTCCTTCAAGTTAGAGTTTTAAAGTTATACTCATATCTCTCTCTCTCTCTCTCTCTCTCTCTCTCTCTCTCTCTCATAGATCACCTACAGCCAGAGCAGCTTTAGTTTACTATATTTTTAGTTTGCCATAGAAACGTTTCAAACTTCAATTCTCTGAGTCTATTTTGGACGCTCTCAGAGTAAAGCATCATAAAAAGTCAAATCCAAGCAGCATGAAAATTCACGACACGACGCAGTCAGGGTATTTGCGAGTCTGGCAGTTCTCACTAAGGCAGGCTGACTGGTTTTCACTATAATGTTAGCAAGATATTTTCGAAACTCTCAAAATTTAAATGCTGCCAAAACAATATATTAAAATGATACAAATTTCTGTTTTTCTATCAGTAAAACTTTCTTTTCATCTAGCTCAAGTTTCACTGCTCTAGACAGACAAACACATAGTGAAATTCTTGATATAAATATATATATATATATATATATATATATAAATATATGTATTTATACACATCTGGTATACACCTCGATTACTTCTGCTTTTCCTTCTGGCAGATGAAATACTTTTCGCTCAAGCATTTGATGTCATTCATGACGAATCTTTTCTGTTTGATCCGCAGCTCCACGCAGTGTTCGTCGTCGAAGTTATCCGGCCGATTAGTCTCCCAATAGGCATAGGATATATTTTTACCTGTCGTCAGGGATGTGTATGCACCTGGAGCACAGATGTCGTTCACGTCCATCCAGAATCGCGCATCTTTCGATTTGCTCAGGGTCAAATTTAATAAATGATTGCTCAGCGCCTCATATTCAGCGCCGTCCTTAAAGTAGGCCAAATGGGCACCCATCGATGAGCACACATCGGAGGCGGTAAACCAGTTGAGCTTATTGTCTTCTTCGACGTAGTACAGCTTTGAGCCAACCTCCTGGAACTGCTTCGGTTCCGCTGCAGCCCATGTGGGATATTTGTTATTTATCAACTCTTTGAGGTACTGCAGCACATCGTTCTGTTGCCTTAGCTGCTCGCTGGGACTCGCTACGGCATTGAGCGCAATTTGACATTTATCGAAGGAGTCGATCCGATCTACCTCTGATAAAGTTTCATTGCAGCTGCCTTGACCTATAAGAAGCCAGCTTAAAAGTGCAATCTGAACGGCTTTCATGCTGCTTAACGGCCTGAGATGCAGCTAAGAACTGAAGCAACTGCAGGTTCAAATCTAGTTCGCCTCGCTTTAAGTCTTAGCATAACGAATTCCAATTTCATGCCGAGCTATTACGAATTGGAAATGCAGAAATCTTTGCTTTCCTGGCGTTAAGACGTCTCACATATTGTCAGGCAAACACTCGAGTGATGATTGACTTGTAGATCATACCCGATGAAGGACTTTAGGAGCCCTGGAACACAAGCTCTTCATCATTGGCCATCGATGAGAGTCAGTTGACCCTCGAATTTAGATTAGCTTTACGAAGCCTTCTATGAACTTGCCAAAGCAAAGCTGCCTCGTCGGTAGCTAAAGGGCAGAGAGCAGGAGCAGGAGTAGGAGCAGGAGCAGTGGCAAGAAACGGAGCAGAATGGGAGAAGGAGCACGAGCAGGAGCAGCAGCAGGAGTAGGAGCCCTAGCAGAAGTGGGAGAAGGATCAAAAGTAGAAGCAGAAGTGGGAGAAGTAGCAAGAGCATGAGCAGGGGCAGGAGCAGGAGTAGGAGCCGTAACAGAAGCAGCAGTCGGAGTGGGAGAAGGATCAAAAGTAGGTGCAGCAGCTGGAGAAGTAGCAAGAGCAACAAGAGCAGAAGCAGGAGTGGAAGCAGGAGTAGGAACAGTAGCAGTAGCAGGAGTAGCAGCAAAAGGCGCAGCAGCAGGAGCAGGGAGAACAGCGCATTGCCATAATTTCGAACTCATGTTTATGCTCAGTGTAGTTGCTGCCTTCGAGGCGCAGCAGGATGGGGCGGGCAGTTGCTTTGCCAGCTTTGCCATGGCAATTGGCAAGCGCATCGAAATTGAATTTGAATTGAAAAACGCAGACAAAAGTCGCAGATTTTGGCTCTCGGTTTAATTTCGCAACAAAAAGTCCTTGCGATGTGCTCAAGCGTCCTTTGCCGTAATTGCATTAGTTCGATGCTCGCTGCATTATCCTTGGGCTTCACTTTGATTGCGTTGCAATTTACCAGATTCGCCCACAAAGCAGCATGTTGCAGATGACCTTTAGGGCATATGAGTGCAACAAGAACATGAATTGCTTAAGTAATTGCCAAAGCTGTGCAGGGACTGCAAATAAGGCTGATAGATAGAAGGCTATAGGCATCTAGGCTGAATGCTGATCAGATATTTAAATGTGAAATTTATTTTTAATATATAATATTCAAATTTTAGAGTTTGATCTATTTATTTAAGGAGCTTTAACATGGCTGACTAAAGCAGCCTCTCCCTTGCCTAGGCCAAAGAGTGACTGGAAAAATTATTAAAAATTACTTCAAGTCTTTGGCAAGGTATTGATGGCTAGCAGAAATAATATATATTTATAATATATATTTATATATATATCGTAAATAATATATATCTCAGTCAAAATATTCTCACTAACTTCAATCTTGAAGTTTCGGTGGCGTTGCCGCTGGCACTTGGCTAATGGCTGGCCTTTCACGCATTCGAGATTCGACTCGCACATCCGTCATCGTGGCACGGGGCAGGTGACGCCCCCAGTTCGGTGTGTTTATGCGCCATTATTAACACGTCATAACTTGGGGCCGACAGTTGCCGAAAAGCTGGCATATTACAGAGCCCGCAACGAGCTCAGACGAGCGCCAAAAGTTGCCATCAATCACGAGGACGGCCACGGCGAGAGTCGAAAGGATAAGCAAATGACGACGAGGCCAGGCCAAGGGGCTGAGCTGTTGCTGTAGCTGGAGTCGTAGGTGCTGGGGTCATGGCGTTTATTTATGCATAACACGGCGTTGGCGCTGCCGCAGTAGTTAGGGGGGGGGGGGGGCGTGGCCATTGCCGCAAAGTGATTTTAAATGGAGGCACAGGCCCTCAAATTTGACGATGCTGTTGTTGATGACGCCCTGCCGCCTGACGTCTGACGTGCGATGCCTGCACGGAACTGGCCCTGCCCCAGAGACTGTTGGCCAACAGGTTGATGGCCATTAAAAAGGCGCGCAAGACAAAAAGTAAAATGCAACGCAAAACTCTTAATTGAATGGAAGAGCCAAAAAAAACCAAAGAAAACTCTTACTGAGTGCAGCATGGACAGTGCTCGACTAGGAAATACCCTGAAACCACTCTGAAGCTCATTAACATCTACTTAGCCACAATTACTTATTCCAGAATATATTTTCAGCGTGTTGTCGAATCTTTGAGTGTTATAAAATAATATAATATACAAAAATAATATAAAATTTAAATTTAGGAGCAATAGAAGTAGAAGTAGTAGGAGTAGAAAAAGTTCGTATATTCATAGACTGCAAATAACTTTAGAGTACGTAAACTTCAAATTTAGTTCTTTGACTCTTCATATGAATATGAATATGAATATGAATATGAACATGAATATGAATATGAATATGAATATGAATATGAATATGAATATGAATATGAATATGTATATGTATATGAATATGAATATGAATATGAATATGAATATGAATATGAATATGAATATGAATATGAATATGAATATGAATATGAATATGAATATGAATATGAATATGAATATGAATATGAATATGAATATGAATATGAATATGAATATGAATATGAATATGAATATGAATATGAATATGAATGTGAATATGAATATGAATATGAATATGAATATGAATATGAACATGAATATGAATATGAATATGAACATGAATATGAACATGAATATGAATATGAATATGAATATGAATATGAATATGAATATGAATATGAACATGAATAACCAATTATTCTTAAGCAGTATTGACAGTCAACCATCTCTCTCTCTCTCTCTCTCTCTCTCTCTCTCTCTCTCTCTTTCTTGTTCACTCTTTGATAAAAGATTTATAGATTAAGCAATAGACAAATTCCTTTTCATTTCATTTCATTAATAATAGATACACTCAATTATATAAGCTTTTCCGTATATGTATATCTATATATCTATTGCATACTTAAACAGAGGCTGAACAATTTGTCGCTTGATTTATGAGGCAGGTTCTTAATGCCATCTGAAGATCGAAACCGACTGGAGACGCACCCAAAAAGCCAACTGAAGTTCCAGTCAAAGCAGGCTCAAATCTTTATGTGTGTGTATAATCATATTTTATGGGGTGGGGCGGCAGCAAAGGGGGCGTGTCTATCAAAATATTTTAATCGTGGTCTTAAGCCATTGATGCGGCCGTCAAGCCGAGATTTATGAACATAATAATTACAAAAAATTTACTAATTGATTTATTGTCGAATGTATAAACACCTTTTGCTTAATTTATGCTGCTGCTGTTGTTGTATTAAATACCGGTTAGGCGAAGAGGCCTGGCCAAAAAAACTAAGAAGAAGAAGAAGAAGAGGAATTTATGCATTAAGCCAAGGAGGAGCCAAGCAGCAACCTGTGAGCCAAAGCAATCAGCCGAGCGACGTTTCGCGTATGGGCAATGGGCGCACATTTCGATGATGTACGACGAATGTCCTGGCACACACACACTGGCACACACACACTGGCAAACCGTTCATTATAAAGGAGTCAGGTCGTCAGGTGAGCAGCGTTGGCAACGGCCAACCAAGACCCCAGGCAAGAAGACGCAAATTAATTATTAATCAACGAAACGCAGACGCAGCGCTGCAGCAGACGGGGGAGAGCTGAAAGCTGAAGTTGAAGGAGGATCGGCTAAGCGATCAAGCCGCGACCGAGGAGTGATTTATGCCCAGGCAACCGCCAAAGCTAACGAATCGCACATTCTGACGCTGTGCCAAGATGGACGACGCTGCCAACTGACGAGGGCCTCATGCAATGCAATCAAGCCGAAGCCAACACTCAGCCAACATTCAGCCAACACTCAGGCGCAGCAGCAGCTCAAATGCACTGCAACAAATTTGTGTGCAATTGCTATCGAAAGAGACTTCAAGGGGAGGCAGCTGCAGCTTTACTGCTTCTGGCTAACGCAAAGTGACAGAGTAGAATATTTTGGCTCAAGCATGTCTTTAAATGTAGCCTCTCTATGTAATTCTCATTAACTCAAGGAACTGAACTCGTGAGTTCCCTTATTAACATATTGTGGTGCATATACAAAAACCTTTACATTTGCCTTTCAATCATTTTCTTTCTGCCTCTCATTGTATTCATTATTTCATTCTCTCTCTCTAAGCCTCTCTGCATATCTCTTTCTATTTCTCTTTCTCACTCAGTCTCTATCGCTGAGAGGGAAATACATGCATCCCGCCCACTTTCTTTCCTTTTATGCCCTATTCACGTGTGCTCCATCTCTTTCCATTATTCCCTTTCTCGATCTTTCCCTCTCTATACGTTCCTAGCTCTCGCTCTCTCTGTCTCCCTTGCCCTCTGTCTCTCTTTTTTTCTCTCTTTCTTTCTATATACTTATCTGTCGCTCTCTTTCTTTCTTCTTATATATCACACTATCATTCCATCACGATTTCTCTGTACATTTTATTCATACCCCTCTCTCTCTCTCGATCTCCCTTTACCTCTCTCTCTCTCTGTCTTCCAGTACCTCTCTCTCTATTTATTTTCCTCTCTCTCTCTCTCTCTCTCTCTCTCTTTTTATCTCTCTTTCTGCCATTCGATCTTTCTCCCTCTCACAATTTCTTTCTCTCTCTCTCTCTCTCTCTATCTCTCTCTCTCTACCTCACTCTCTCTCTCTCTCTATCTATCTCTCTCCTTTTCTACTTATATATATCTCTATCTTTCCATTACTCTCTACTCGTTATCTTTCTCTCTCCCCTCAGCTTCCTCAACAGATCCTCTCATTAATAGACATCAAATGTTAGTTTCTTTCTCTTTCATACACAGTAATTTCTCTCAGTGTAACAGCGATTGCGCATGTTGAGCTGTTGCTGGCTCCGCTGCACATCTTGAAGGCACAACTGCAGGTTCCCTCCCCTATCAGTCAGGCCACGGTACGTCACTCAGTCAGCGAATGCTGTGAGCTCTGTGCTCTGTGCACATGCAACGGCTTGAGCTGGCTTGGCCATGGCCTCGCCTCCTTGTGCCCAGGATCAGCATGCAATGGGCATGCATGTGGCTGCTTTGGTCAGCCTTGCCCCTTGGCCGTTGCCCCGTGCCACGGGCTGCCACAGAATTGAGAATTGCGAATCAGAAATGCCAGAATTGAAATCGCATTTTAAATCATTCCGCGCTGCGCCGTCTGCTCGGCTCGGCTCGGCCCGGCCCGGCCCGACGCACATGATTCACAGTCACAATCGCCTCAAATCTCGAATAACAAATCGCATAATTACGGGGCAAACGGCTGTCCAGCTCCAGCTCCAACTTCAGCTCCAGCTCCAGCTCCATCTTGCCATCCAGCCCGAAGCTGGGCGAACGCTGCGCGATGGCGCAGATATGAAATATTTTAGCTAAATGGCAGCCAAAGAGAATAAAAATGTGGGATTGAAGCGTATAAATCAACGCCGCGCCGCGGCCAGGCCGAGCTCACTCAGCCAAGCGGGCAGATTCACTTGGCCAGGCCCGGCTCTCCCGGCTCCGTCTTGGCCAGAAGCCTCCACTCTTCACTCAGAGTCGCTGGAGCGGAGCGGCTTCATTAATATGTATGCGAATCTGTGGCATAAAATCAACCCGAGGCGATAAATTGAAACGATTTCGCAGTGAACACGCAATTAGTTCTAGTCCCATATGAAACAAGCTCAACAAATAAAAACATAAAAAACAAAGATGAAATTTTACATCAAATCGCAGTGGAGACATTTGAGAAATCGTCTTGGAGCTATGCAAAGTGCCTTCTCCTCCTCCTCCTACTCTTCTTCTTCTTCTGCTGCAGCTAATGACTCAAGATGTTTCCTCTTAAGGCCTTTTATTGGTATAATTATCGTTGATATTCGATTTGATTTACCTGTTTGAACAAATGTGGCTTTTATGACTCCAATTGGACACCCACTCTAACTTCCAATTAGCTTGGAGTAGTTATTAAATAAAAACAAGTTTGAACGACTGCTTAAACGACTGCCTTAGAACTCTGTTCTTAATTTCATAAACTAATTTAAAAAGCAATTTGAATCTTTCATATTGCATTAATTTTCTTTCTTTTATAAATTTCTTATTTTTAATCCAATTTAAATCAAATCAGACCAACTTTAATATCAAATTAGAACTTTAGTCAAACATTATTTTGATATTTTGTCTAGTTTCATTAAGCCAAGACACTTATAAGCTTACAGTATTCAGCATTATATTTTTAAAAGGTACACATATATATTTCTTATTAATCAACAAATTATATTATTTATATTTAGAGAAACTACAGCGAATTGTATTTCGAGTTGAGTACCTTCGATTTTGCACTCAAATCAGTTTGCAATTACACTCAAATGCGCGCTCGCAACACTATCGAATTCGATTTCGACAGTAAGCAACTCAAATGCTCTCATACGCTCAGAGCGCATTCGATTTCGACCACGTACCGCTCTCACCAGTTACGCTCTCTCTTGTTCGAAATTCGAACGCTGCCAGCTGTTGAGTGTGAAATGACGCGCGTTGACGGAAAGTGTGCTGTGCACAAGTAAAGTGAATTTCAACTAAAAAAAATAAAGCTAACAAATGTAAGCGGAAGTTTAATTGAAATAAGTAATTAATAAGTCATTAGTGTGTTTAATAAGTGTTAATAAAAATAATATGATCAGTGACAACTCAAAGAACAATCGTCAGGCTTGAATCCGATAAATACCACATTGCGGTAAGTGGCATTGCGAACTATGCCAACGATGGAACAGCTTCAGTTTTGTCGTTGCAATACCTGTTATATACTAATATGTAGTATAGATACTCCTATATATTTATTGAAAATTATTACTTTTCATTTGCTCAAATTTGCACGCTTGTTGCAATTTTGGCGTCTTCGAAAAAATGCCACTCACAAACAGCTGATTTATGTGTTCGACTCTCATTTCGACATTTGTGTAGCACAGGCCGCTCAGAGAGTTGCTCTGGCCGTTGTTGAGTGAATTTTTATTCGAAATCGAATTTCGAGCTGTTTGCCTCTTGAGTTTAAATTAAATGCCGTTAAAAATAAATTTAATTTGCCGATTTTAAATAAAGTTTAAATACTTTGAAAAAGGAAAAAATTAATTACATTTTCTTTAAATTTAATTATTATATTATTAATTGTTTTTCATTTCAATAATTTTTTTAATAACAAAATTCTATACATTGATAAAAATATTTAATCACCAATTGAAAGTTTTACCCACCTAATGTACCGATATATTTTATTGTGCTTCATCATTTCCACTTTACCAAGCAGCAACATCAAAAAACTTGTTTTGCCGTTTTTTCTCTCATATTTTCATTGCTTCCCTCTTCGCTAGGGCGGAGCAGCATTTGTGTGTTTAGAAGTGTTCGACTCTTTCAGCATGCGCTGCTCAGCTATCTCGCTCGCTCGCTCGCTCAAACGCGCGCAACATCCATTCATCCGCCTGTCAATCAATCACCTGTCAACTTGGCCACGCTCACTGGTCCACACAAGCACGCACTAATACAAACACAAGCGCAACTCGTGTAGCGCGCAGAGCAATGGCAGTTCGAAATTCGGATAAAAGCAACCATCGCTAAAAACCCATTCGTATTGGAATTTCGTATAATTTTTTCGCTTGCTCTTTGTGTTCTTTTCGCCTTTAATTGAGTGATTTTTTAATACCCTGTAGACAATTAGGTATAGAGTTGAATCTGTGATATGATTTGAATTGAATATTTTTATTTTTTGTATATATTCAATAAGAATTTACAATTCCTTTATTTATTATTAGTTATATGTACTATAAATACATATATATATCAAATATATATGTGTAAATGGCTTAGTATTGCTATCTTCTTCAACTGCATTAAATAATTCCCATACAAATTTTTTATTTTAAGATTTACATATAAAATAGAAAAATTATATAAATTTTTAATTTTTTTTTTCAGTTTTTCAACATTTTTATTACTATTTAAAGTTATTTTAATATTGACCTCTTGAAAATCAGAATATATATATGTATATTTATGGATACGCCATCATAACAAACGATAAAAATGAATGGGAAATGGGATTTGAATTTGTGGATATGAAGGACATTTTACCGTTAGGCCCAAATCTCATTTGAGCAATTTTGCAATTTTAATCAGCTTTATCTTTATGTGACTGGGTCGGGGAGTGAGTGGGTCCCATACCAGATGGTTGTTGTTGCTGCTGCTGCTGCTGCTGTTGCTGTCATAAATCTATCAAGTTTAATGGCCGCCTCAGCGCTGCACATAATTTTATGTATTTTATGCTGCAAATGGTAGCCGAAAAGCGCACAAATCAGCAGCAACAACCCCCGATCCAGCCCACCCAAACCACCCGCACAGCAGCTCAGCAGTTCAGTCCATCCAACCACCCACCCAGCCGCTCACTGAGCGCACGAATTTCACGCACATCTCAGAAGACTCACAAATTTCATAAAGTGGCAATTCAATCAATCAATTCTGACAGCAGCCAACCCCCGGCTGTGGGGCTGGGCTGTCGAGTGCACCCTGGACGTGGGTTAAGCGTCTAGCCTGGCCATTTTACCGTTATGCTCACGTACACAATCACACAACTCAGCTGAAAAAAGGGGGGTGGGGTGGGATGGTGTTTTGCTGCAGAAACAAAGCAAAATTATGCATAAATTTTCTTGACCCTCAAACCCAACCGAAAAGGCAACTTTTGTCTTCAAGCGCTGCTTCACTCACTCATTCATTCATTCAGTCATTCGGTCAGTCAGCCATTTGGGAGTTTAAATATTTTTTAATTGCACCTTGTGGCACTCGACCTGGAAGCAGCAAGAGGGGCAGCAGCAGCAGCAGATATCCATTAACCTGGCCAAGAAACCCAACAGCAAAACAAAACAAAAAATTGCCAACCCTCTCTTTACCCTTCGCTGGTTATCGCAGTTTTTGCTTTGCTGTTATTATCCTTATTTATTTGTGTTTCGCTTCTGTTTCGTGCAGGAAGGTTTTTCCCATAAATTTCCAAAAAAACATTTGGACAAAGGCGCTGAAATAGGAACAGCTGCAGAAGGGGTTTTTGGAGCGGTTTGCCAAGACAGAGATGGGAGCCATCAAATGCTTTAGTTAATGCTGGAATATTAGAGATTGTTTTCTATATACAAATTAGATAGAATTACCCGGCGTTGCACGGTTAACTTGGCAGTGCAGAAAGAGTGAAGTGATTCAAACTGTTCAATCGTTTATAAAATGTTTATTCCTATTCACATTTGATAGAAAACCCAAGCAAATTTTCATCGATAGCCATTTGGGTATCTAAAAAGGACTTTAAATTGTTAATATTCTTTATTATTAAGTTTTATTTATTTATGTATGGCGCCAGTGTAGCCCACCGTAAATTAGATGTGGTTTATGATTTTTATTTATTTTTGCAAAGTTTTGAAAGTGTGCAAATAATCAAAAACGAAGAATCAACTAACTTTGACTCGATATGATAATCTGCCTTTGCCTTGCCTATATGCTATAGACGGACAAGAAGCTCGAATGGACTTTCTGATATCCTGACCCATTTTTTATAGCATCTCTAACCTGACATAACTTTTAATTCAAGATGAGCACTTAAACTGAAATATAAACTTTCTGAATTGATCCAGACTTTAATCCCGCTTGATGCTATTATAGTATATAAGTATTATATATATTTTATATTTCTATCATCTATATTTATACCATGATATATATATTTAGTATATTTATATGTTTATAATATTTTATCTATTACAAATTAAATTTTATATTTATTTATATAACACATATATATTTTACATACTCATTTGAAGGAACTTCACAAAAATTCTTAGTTTTTCCTCTTGGAACTCATTTGATTGAGCGCTTGAAACGTTTATAAACTTTTTGACAGACAGGAAAAGTTGGCTAAAACTGCTAAGCGTCCTGTCAAAGGAGCCCATTGAACAGAAAATCAATAGTTTTAAGCCAGCGAATTGGCGGTGGCTGAGCCTGAAGCAGGTGTAGCTGACAAGAGGTAGGAGCTGTTGCTGCTGTTGCAAGGACAAGAAGCATTTCATGGCCCGGCTATCCAATTTGCTAGCGAAAACGGAGGCTTATTAAAATAGATTGTGGGAATTAAGCTGCAAAGTAAATGAACACGGGAAATGAGTTGAATGTGGGTGGAGGGCGGTGGGTGGCCTTGGAGATTGGGCAGTTTGGGGATTGGTAGTTGAGGCAATTACGAAATGATTGAATGGTAATTTCAGCAGAAAACTTTGCGCCGCCCTTTTGTTTTGCGAGGGGGTGGGGATGGGGGCTGGTTGGAGGCGAACAGTTTATGCCAGGCATAAATTCCCATTATTTATGGGGCCGTAACTGTTTGTGATATTTTATTTCGCGCAAGGATAGCAAGGATAATTTGCGCCCAACTTAACAAAGAAAAAGCGTCGTGAATGTTTGGAATTAATTGCCCAATCCGCTCGCCAGGATTCGCTCCCTTCCCTCCCCTGCCCGCCGGTTCCCTCGCGCTGCTCCTCCGCCACCAAATGTTCGAAATGGAAATCACAAACAGAAAAAAATTGTTTTAATTAATAAATTGAATGTGTGCGAAAATTGAAAGGATTTTTGCCGGTTGGCTCAGGCACCTCATTTGCCACAAGGCTGAGTTGTTGCTCTGATTATTGTTGTTGTTGTTTGTATTGTTGAGGCATTCATCTTGGGCTCTCATTTGCAGGCGACGCTCATTTTGTATGCAAATGATTTATGCCAAAAAGAGCTTGGCAGCGAGCAAAACTGGATTAGATTGTGCCAGTCGAGCCGAGCGAGTCATTCCCTATGTAAAGAGCCCAAACCCCAAAGGCCGAACACCTCCAAGACCGCCCGAGCACCCCGAAACATACTGTAAATGAGCGGCCCTTGCCTGAAACTTTGGACTCCCCTACGATATTTGCCAGGATTCGCGAGTGTCTAGGCGTAGGACACGGGACAGATAGGGGGCGGGGCTTGTGTACGGCCTTTGTGAGGCTTTTTAAAATATTTACTTAACATCCTATTATCCCTGCAACGCAATGAGACGCGGACGAGCGACCCTCGCTTGTATCAACATTAAAACGATAAACTTGCCAGAGACCAGCGTCGGCAAGAAAAAAATGCTAAGGACGAAGGACACGTCTTGTCTGTCACACCAAAATGTCACCGCGGGGTGAAATACTGGCAGGACAAAAATGCAAACAACAAATAAAAATAAAACAACAACAAGAGCCAGAAACGAAAAACAAAGACAACATATTTCATATTTGTAAAGCAGCTTGACTAAAAATATACCCTGTAATTCGAGAATATCTAATATGTAATGATATATTATGAAATAATATCAGAAATGCTTGGAAGTATAAGAAAATAATGATTTTTGGAAATACATATTATTCATCTCATAAAGAAATAAAAATGAAAATCAATAAATATTTGAATAACTAAATACATTTTTAATAGTGCAAACACTTCACACAATACTTTTACAGAGTATAAACAACAACATAAAAAGAAAGGAAAAATCCCCAAAACAAAATGTGAAACAAAAGCGCGTGTAAGCGACACTGAAGTCGAGCTGCGTAAGTGTTGAGTGCAAGCAGGACAACAATAATGAGAGCAAGTGGGCCACATAGAGCACAGGCTGGTGGGAGAGGGACACGCGCTCCAAGCACAAACAAACGGAACAAG